GGAGTGACGCCGCGGCCCCGGGCCGCCGGCTCAGGGCCGAACGCACCAACCCGTGGCCTGGTGCGCCGGCTCCGAAAGGCCCTAGAACTGACAGTGCTTTGAATTATTGTAACAGCAGAAAGAGGTGACGCCGTGCACGAAGCCGTGTCGTTTACCTAAACACGTGTTGTGTGGCAGCACGGGCTCGGCCTTGGCTGGTTGCTGGTGGCGGAGGTCAGGCCGGAGTTGCGCTCACCAGCAAAGGCCGCTGGTGGCTCTGGCTTCCCGGTGGCCCGCAGTCTGGGCAGCGTGATGGGGAGGAGTAAGTGGGCCTCCTCGAAGGGTTCGCCTTCAGGAGCTGTCTTGAGGAGTAGTGGGCGTTTTTCATTCACCTCGACAGCAGAAGTGCTGAAGGTAAAATGAGATATGCACATTTTAGACAGCTCTGGTGCCCTTGGCAGCCAGCCTCTTTATTTTGTCTTCTTACCAGATCAGCAGCTGCACAGGAATCTACTTCGGTCCACGCTGCTGAGCAGAAGTATTTTCCCGGACGCAAAAGCCTCCGGAGCGAGCAAAGCTTGTTTCTGGCCGGTTCTGCTCTGCAGGTGCCGCTGCTGGGTGTGCTCGTGGCAGCGTGGGGCAGCGGTCGAGTAAAGCGTGGTGTTGGTGCTGAACGTAACTTGTATCATACATCTGCTTTTGTGTGGTTTGTCTTTTAACCTGAAGGAAGTTAGCTAGCTCGGTTTGAAATCTTATGTGTACAACTTTCTTTTTAGGTGGTGGGTGTAGTATTTGGCGATTCAGTGCAATGGATTTACCATATGGTGTATGTCAATTTCATATATACACACGGGATTGATTGTTTGGTGTATGTCCATTTCATATATACACACATAGACAGGGAGAAAGTGTGTATGTATGTGTATATATACATACAAATAAATGTGTATATACATGTATTTCTCTGTGTACATACATATCTAACCTATTCTGGTTGATGAGCAATCTTGTCAGTCCCAGCAGTGTTTGGTGCTTGTGTGTTACATGATTGAAGCTGTGTGTTCCTGCTGTCATGGCTTATGTGACTCTGCGCCTACAGTAAGGAACGTGGAGGTAACCTCCCTGTTTCTCTGTGTGTTCCTGCTGTTTCTGTAGGGCTCTGATATGGAGGGTGTTTGTAGGGCTTGAGTATGGAGCGCTGTCTGGACAGAGTCATCTCAGGATGAAGTGTAGAAGGTGCTTTGGTTGAGCTCAGTTCCAAGCCCTTTATCGGGTGCTGCAGTGGGGATTTAGGTAGAGGTGGAAATTAGGAGTTCGTGCTCTATATTCTGTCATCTCTCAAAGCACGGAGTAATCCTGTAAGTTACCCCGCTGAAATCAATGGGGATCAGCTCAGATTCTTGAGAGTGTGCTTGGGATGTTACGGTCACCAACTTTTTAAAAAACTTTTAAATCTTTTTTGTGTGTTACTTACGAAATAGAGATATTGAAATTTTATTATAGATCACATTTTATTACTTTGTTCCTGGACTCTGACAGAGCGTCTCCCAAGATCTGTGCTTTCCAAGGAGACTATCTTCAAAAACTGCAAACACAAGAGCAACAAATCAAGTTCTTAGTTGCAAAGTAAAACATTTTCATGTAGAAAGGTCTTAATTTTTGCAGTGTTACATGACAGAATTCACATCTAAATAATCTCTGTAATCTTCCACTGTCTCAGACTTTCAACTGCAAGTAAGTTCATCAGCTACAGTCTGGATTTCTGTGCTAAGATGTAGAATAAAGCATCTGAGAGTTAGAGTCCTTCCATTGAAAGAGTTTTTCTTATTTGCATCATTCACTACTTAGCTCACACCAGAAGTTACACTGTTACTTTTATTTATTTGTTTACCATAAGCCAGCAAAACCTGTCCTCTTCTCAAAGTCTATCACATTGTTGTTTCACAGATAAGGGTCTTCCATATGGTAAGGATCTAATAAAGAAATACCATCCTTGAACCTTGTTGTTTTGATAAACCTCTGTGACTAGATACTTGATGAGATGTAAAATCTTTTCTCATAACCTTCAGGACTTACTACTGGACTGGTGTTTGTAAGCTTTGTATCCGATGCAAATTTTTTTTACTATTTCAGAACTGTTAATGATGTTCATAGCTGTGTTGAAACCAGCTTTTTGAGAAGTTTGGTGGTATACTGTCATTATAATCTACACACAAAATATTTTTCATTGTAACTTCATTTTGAGGGTGGAATAAATGGTACTTGATCCTATCACATGAAAATACTTTGTCGTCCTTCTACATTCTCTTTGGCTCTTTACCTTTTTCTAACTGTTAAACATTTTTTACTCTTTTTACTTTTTATATTCTTGATAGAATGAGTTCTTTGTGCTTTTGGAGTTTAAATCTGACCAAGTGTTTCAAGAAGATAAAAGATGGATTTCAGTTGTCTGCGGTGCATGTGGACAAGCGTATTTAGACCTGTTCTTACTGGAGCAGTATTTGTAAAGAGCTGTGACAGACGCTCCAGGGACCACTCTGCAGCAGAATTCAATCTTGTTGGCTAGCAACAAATAGGCTCCATTGAAGGCTGTTTATTTGAATGGGAGTTGGACTGGGCCCTTTGGGAGAATGCTGTGTTTTCAAAATAGCTTCAGATGCAATGGATTTCAGCGATGAATATAAATAAGGAACAATTAAATCAGAATAATAAAAAAAAATAATTTGCTTAAGGTAACTCTGGAGTTTTCTAATACAGGGAACAGATTGGCTGGGGTATTATGCAACCCCATCCTAGCCTACAACACGGTCTTCAGTCCTGCTGCAACATTTCCAAATTTTATGCCTATTGAAGACATTAAAAAAAAAAGGGGAGGGAGATGGAATTAAACAATATTTCTGTTATATATCTGCTGAATGGTATATATGTTAAAAATAGGGAACTGTACAAGGTTGCTCACCGCAGATGCCTTCAGTTCCTAGACTTGAATGCCTACGAAGCCTTATTAATGCTGAGCAAAGAAAGTTCTTTCTTTGTTAAGAAGCTATCAGCTGTGAGTTTAATGATCTTCCATGCAACAGAAAACATTACTGAAAATAAGTTTCAATTCATGACTTCAGAAGCTACCTCAATGCCAAATTCTTACTTTTTTTCTTGGTTTTATGTGAAGTTCTTGAAAGTTTCTTGAAGGTTCCAACTGCTTCCCTGTTTGGCTTTTCCTGGTTGACAGTTTTGCTATGATTTTTAAGGTTTTACATTTAGAGACAGGAAATACACAAGCCTACAGACTTTCAAAAACAGTTTTTTCTATAGGTACCTAAACCAAATGACTGGAAAGCCCTCTTTAAACTAGGCAAAACTGAAATGCTAAAGCAGAGCAGATGTTTGGCCCACTCCTCCCTGGCAGTTCTGTTAAACACATGGTTACTGAATCCTTTTTGGAGATCAAAGGGGGAAATGAGAACATAAAGATAACCTTAGACTGTGATTTCTTTTTATTTTTTTTTAATTATTTTTTCAGGTAGTTTCATACTGGTGCAGCTTTGGCCTTAGGAGCAATCTGGCTCTGGCACAAATATTCACAGCTTTTCTTGAAGTAGAAAAGCTGCACACTGCTGCATTTATTTACCTTTCTTTGTACCTCGTGTAGATATAATCAGGGGATAGGGCTAATTAGATAAGAAGAGACAGCCTTCATGAATATGACATTAGGCTGAGAATTAGCTGGGACACCTGTGGTCTTAAACCTGGCTGTGGATAAGTAAACTCTTCCTCCTGGTCCTCCACCTGAGTTCCCAACCAGTTTACCCAGAGAGACTCCTTACCTTGCACGGGTATATTTAGGATTAATTAAAAGTTTTTGCTGTAAAAGCAAGTGTGTTTTTCATTGATCTGCCTCCTGAGGCACTAGGTAAAGTGTCAATAGACAAACTCTGTTTTCTTTACAGTTATCTGAGTGATTGTTTCCTCCTGTTTTTCTTCGGAATGTGGTCAGTGCATGTAGCAATTTATTACTTTTTATTTTTTTGTTTTTTAGACTTTCATTTGGTCTTTCTGGCTGATGACTGCCAACAAGAATAGTGTGAAGAAAGTGTGAGATCCTTTTGGGAATACAGAAGAGTGAGATGAGTGTTTAGAAACACTTGGGGTTTGGTTGTTTCTTAGAAGCAGATCATTTCTCCACTGTATTTTCCCCTCCTTAGTTTGGAAGGTTCATTTTCAGCAATAATTGGAAAGGTATCCATTTAGTACTTAGAGATATGATTCTCCCCCTCTCCATTTTGGGGACTCACTCACAGGTGCAGTTCCAGGATTACTGAACCCCAACTGATAAATTTTTTTTTCTTTTTTTTTTTTTTTTTTGGCTGCTGTTGACCACACCTGTGGTGCGTAGCTCAGCTCATTATTGCCTTCGGCAGTCCAATCTTTCTGTGCATGTTTGAGACTATTATCTGCAGCTTTGTGTAGATACCCTAAGGATTTTCCCCAAAAAGCTCCCTTCTTTAATACTCTCTGCTGAGCAAACCAATTTCTAGCCATCTGTGAATCAGCTGTATACTCATCTCTTCCCCACTCCATAGCATTTTAATAAAACACGGGACATAGAAATCATGTTATCTGTGCAACTGATTATGACAGTAACTTTGGAACTGGTAATTAAACATTGATCCATAATTAATAGCTGGCTATTGATCTTATTTTAAGTAGATAACACAGCAGGAGTAGGCATGAAACTATGAAAAGTGAAGGTGGACTATTGTGAAAAATTCCTTAATTGCAGAGGTGTTCTGTGCTGTTGAGTAGATGCTCTTGAAGTCTCCGATGCTTGAATGATACTTAAATTCGAAACTTACAGCTGAAGCCATTCTTTAATATTGTAATGGAAATAAAAAAATAAGAATGCAAGATTGGTGGTTTTCTTATGGTGGGTTTTTTCTGGTGATGTTATGCTGATAGTGATGTTGTTATATAATTAGTGGCTACATGTTGAGTGTGAAGGAATTGAAAATAAGCAAGTATTTACACTTATTTGTTGAAACACTTTTTAAAATCCTCAGTAAAAATTTTATACTGGTATCATATATTCAGTAAACAAAAATTTTTGAGTTTCACTTTTTTGGTTGATTGGTTTGTTAGTTTAAAAGGTGCTGGTTTGTTGAGTGAGGTTTACCCATGAGTTTTTTTTTCCTGGTCTCTATCTGGTCTCTTTCAGCTTCCTCATTTTTTTCTGAGTTTCCTAAACTTGTTACAAGAGTCTGTATCCCAAAATTGAATTACATTTTGTTTTATTTCTGTGATGTTCTGAATCCAAAATAATAAAGCTCTAGGCACTGTTCCCATTGGGCATGAAGGTGGGTTGGGCTATTTCACTCAAAACCAGCTTCGTTTAAGAAAGGCACTTTTAAAATATTTTGTGAGTGATACATTATTACTCTTTTGGGTTTATTTACCTTGCGCATTGGTGGTGCTTTGTGCAGATCAATTTCAGTCCACCCTGTTTGCCTTTAATTTGTGCAGTAGTGCTTTATTGATTTGCCCTAGAGAGCAGAGTAGCTTAAATTTGCCTCTATCATTTGTATCTTGGTATAATTAATGATTTGGATTTTAGTTTTCTGCTTTTCATAAAAAAAAGGTATAGATTCATGTTGTTTACAAGTGAAGGACCAAAGGTTATGTGCACATCCTTATCAGCTAAATTAGTTTGTACAAGAGGCATTATAGATGTTGCAACTTTGCAGTGTGCTTTCTGCATTTGTAAAGATGTGACTCTTCATATAAAGTGCCTAGGCATTTTAAGTTAATAAATTTGGTGGTTTGTCTTAAGGAAGGTGGAAAAGACAAAATACCTTCAGGATTCAGTGGGTGGTAATTCAGTTTGGAACAAAAGGTGTGTTTTTGTGTTTTTTTTTTTAAAAAAACGATTCAACTGTAAATGAAAGAATTTTATTTGTCTGAAAAAGGATAGATATTTTGAGAGCATCAGTAGCAGCAGCTTTAAACACCCATTCGTACAGGGTGCATTTAGAATACTTCCGGAGTAATAAGCAAGCTCATGGGAACAATAACTGGGAAAGATGAAAAATGGCAAGGTATTACAGGAGTAGACAGACTCTGAGGAATACAAGCAATGACCAGTAGTCTCAATTTGTGTCAGGAGGAGAGAGAATTACTGTAGTTACTTTACTTTTGGTGTCTAACTCTTGTCCTCTTAAATTCTTGGTGAAGATGCAAAACATTTGTAGGAATTGCCAGGAATGGAGAATTAAGGGAGATTTTTGCTCATAGTTGGTAGGTTTGTCTGCTTATCCGAGACTGTTGACCAAAAAATAGGAAGCTGCAAGTTAAAAAACAGACACAAATTACTAGTGGAACATGTCAACATTCTTTTGAGATCTTCCTCTGAGGGATTCATGGACAAAAGAATAGTTTAATTTGACATCTGCTAATTCAATGGCAGCCAAGAAAGCAAACTTTTATTTCCTTTGGGGGGGGTGAAGTTGCTCATACACAATATTGATATAAAAGTGTCTGGGAAATTCCAGTTATGGGAAAAATTGTATGTACACATTATAGATAACATTGATAAGCAAAGGTAAAAGGTGCAGATATATATTTATGAAAATGGTACATGAAAGGGCTATTAAAACCAACAGAAAATTTTTATTGTCAACAGATTACTTGCTTAGCTTTTTAACGTCTGAAGATGGCATGAGAAATTTATTTTCCCTTAAATTTGCTTCTTCAACTCTGCCACTCCAAACCCATTGGAGATAGTGAATCTATTTAATCGAATCCTTTCATGCAGAGTTTCAGTCTGGATTTCTTTTTCAGTTAAATGGCTCAGATGAAAATAGTCTGCAGTAATGCCGTAAATTTTGGGAACAGAGGAACCGATCTTTAGAGCTCGCTTTAAATATGATGTGAAAAGTCATGTGAGAGAGCAGCCGGGACGTGTGGAGCCCCATCTGGGGAGGGATGATGACCCATCTGAGAGCCTACAGGTCAGGATTAGCGGGCAGACCAGCATTATTGACAGTGTTATTGTACATGTCTGCTACAGGCAGCTCCATCAGCAAGAATCAGGTGAAGCTTCAGATGACTGGAGGAAGCCTCATGTTAGCAGGCCCTGGTCCTCATGGGGGACTTCATTCATACCAGTATCTGCTGGAGTGACAGTGCAGTGGGGCACAAGTAATCAAGTGATCCAGGAGGTTTCTAGAGAGCATTGATAAAAGCTTCTGAATGCAGATGACTGAGGAGCCGACAATGGGAGATGCTACTGGACCTCATGCATAGAAACCAGGAAGAATTGGTTGGGGGTGTGAAGGCTGGGGCAGCCTGGAGTTGAGAAGGGGAAATGCTTGGCCAACCTAGTAGTCTTCTCTGGTGAGGTGACTGGCTTTGTAGTTGAGGGAAGAGCAGTGGATGTTGCTTATTTTGATGAATACAGCATGAGCTGTAAGAAGGTACTAGGAGCAAGGCTGGGAATATTCCTGATTTCCTTAATCAGTGGAGTAGTGCCATCGTGCTTTTGGCTTGGAAGTTCTACTCCATTGAATTAAAACCTTTTTCTCTCCTCTCCCTCCATATAGTCAGGCCATATGTTTTAAGAACTTTATCAGTGCCATTCAGAGCTATGCATACTCTGACTGGGTTTTTTTAAGGCTACATTTAGTTTACCTGTGATCTATGTTATGACTGTTACACGTTTGGGTTTTGGGAGCTGCATGGATCTTTTTACGTCAGGCATCAGCCAAGGGTAGAAAAACCCTGGTGCATGACCTGTCTATTTTTGATCTTTTCCATGTCCTCTCAGTTCTTACTTCTCTGTGTGGTGCTAACAGAGAGGTTATTTTGGTCAGTCCATTTTCAGAATCTTCTAGCTGCTTGATAGCCTACCCAAGGTGACAAAAATGTGGCAGACGGAGGCATCAATCTGTCAGACGGGGAAGTGAGGCATTTCCAGTTTTCTGAGGTCTTGCAACCTGTTACGGATAATGAATTGTAACGTCTGGTCATTTTTCAGTATTTTCTTCCACTGGTGCAGAGGTGTCTCATCCCACACCACATTGGTAGCATCTGTGAAGAGTGAAATAGAATGAGATTTTATGATTAAAAAGCAAAATATGTGTTTTTAAGTCCCAGACCTCAGTAATACATCTTACTCCTTTGAACGTTTAGTAACAGATATTCTGAAAAAACATCCATCATAGCCAGTTGTCTAAGGTCTTTTTTTAGACTGTTCCTGTAGTGGTGGGAGGTTTGAGGAGGTGATGGGATATCTTGCCTGGTGTTTGGCACAGAGCAGCCTGGCCTGGGGGGACCACTTGGGAATTTCTGACCCTGCAGAGCTGGTGCTTCCCATCTCATGCGGGAGGTTGGCTGAGGGTTCCTGCTGGGTTACAGATGGATTTCTGCCAGCGGCTGGGCGCTTTGTTCATTACTTTGCTGTCTCTTAAGAGCAGCCACTTTGGGTTGGCATTGGCTTTGTTGGTGACCTCTGTCGCTTAGTGCCTGATTAATGTTATCAGCTGGCAAGTAGGCAGTGTTTTTAGAGAGCTACTCAATGAATATGCTTCTGATGAAGGATTGCTCTCCACTGCTCCCTTTGCTCACTGATTAGCTTTTACTGTACATCCAGCTTCCACGTGTCTGCAAGTCTCTCGCTCCAAATGGCCGAGCACGGGCCGTGAACGCATCTGCGTTTCCAGGACACAAGAAATCAGAGTGTGCTTTGTTTTAGGGATGACTTGAAATAGACTTTCATTTGCCTGCAAAGGTTGATCAGTAGTGTTAGACATGTAGGAATCTGCTTTAAGGTCAGAGTCTTTGAAGGTGAAGAGATGATGCCACTTGTAGTGTCCTAGGCTTGCTTTGAGATCTGAGAAAGGAAGCAGGTGATTTTCTAGTGTGAGTAATGGGGAAATATTAATAAAGATATGACCTGCAAAGGAAGGAAAAATGTTCCTATCTTTTGGCTTCCTAGTAAAAGCATACTTTCATCGATTATTCTGTTGCAGTTTCTGGTTTCTCCCCAACTCTGCCCAAGCAGACAGAAGGCTGTCTTCCTCTTGCGTGTTTGTTCCTTTGAGTTTACTTCACATCAGTCTAAGTCAAATGGCCTAATTGAAACCAAGACATTTTAACAATAAAAGGCGTGAAGCATTCTGATTTGAACAAAAATTGTGTACCAGTTTTTGTTTGTTTTTTTTTTTTAATGCTTCCAGTGTAGAAACTGTTAACAGTCCATTTGGTACAACTTTGGTAAACCAGCTATGACTTAGGCATGCAGTAGGAGTGTTTCTGCATTTTCTGTATTTCTTTATTCTACCACTGCGGGCATTTGCATCTTTATTGCTTGGGAGTGCTATGCTGCTTAGTGCTCAAAGTCATAATCTTCTGTGATGACATAATTAGGTAGCATGGAAATTATCATGATTTGACTTCACGTATTAAAGAGCTGGAACAAAAAAACTGTGTTGATGTTTCATATTTGTTTTTCTGTGATGAGAAATGGAGCTCAGACTGTCTAAATTGGCATTTTATTGCTGTTTTTCTTAAAATACCAGTGACTCCTAACACTTGAAAAAGTATTCTTCCAGGGTATGGTAGGCGTGAAGAGCTTCTTTGATAGATATGATTACTTGAGTCAGGAATTCAGAAACATTTTTGATCAACCTGTTGACCATGCTTTGAGTTTCCGAATGATTCAGGAAGCTTAATTAGGATGAAGCGTGCAAAAAAATATAGTGGAGATACTCTGAAAAGCATACTTTTTATATCTCATGGTTGGTGGTAAAATAGTTTTAGAATTATTTTTCCTGGTTACATTTAATATTTAAAGAATTTCTTCACAGTTGCATAAAAGTATAATTTTAATACTGTAAAAAGTAGGAAGTTAAACACTGAGATGAGAACAAAAATGCTAAATTTCCCCTCAAGATATTTAAAATAAAAGAATATTTCTCATTTATGCAGAGAAGATACCTCATTTCACTTTTTGAATATGTGGTGCACATCACTAACAATCTCCTTTCATTTGCAAAGGCAAGGAATGTATTACGGTATTTTCTGCAACTGATTATGCGGTTGTGTATGGTACCAAGTTTATTTTCATCAGATAGTTCAAAGCCCATACTTTTTAGGTCAGTAAAGTATGCTTTTCCTAAAGCTTTGAAGTTTTAAATAAGCAAAATGAACATAATTTGACTAAAATTAATTAGCAGTGCTACTGATGGCTAGCACATTGACAAAAGCAGAAACTGAATCTGTGAATTCATATTCTTGTTTCCTTTACCCAAGCAAAGGCTCTGAAAATTGATTCCAGAAGTATAAAGCTTCTCTAGGCGTGCTTACTTCTTGGGCATGAGATGTACAAGAAGTATTTTTATTACTGCTTTATTCTCCTGAAGTTTGGTAAAGAATACAGGAAATAGAAACATGTTTCGCAAATATTTTCTGAAGTAAGTGGGGAGGGCAGGTTCCCTACCTAGTGCAAAATCGCTTGCCCCTTGGAGTGCCCTAGCAGCTTGCTGTTTGGGCGGGCTGCTTTGTTTTCCTGACGTTCTCTTTGTTCGGTGACCTTAGGCCTGTTGCTCAAACAAGAAAGTTTTTGCATAATCTCATAGAATAAGGAGCCTGCCATATTTCGGCTGGGTTTTCAGAAGTTGCTCATGACTCACTGCTCAAGTGATCTTAGTGGGATCGGTGCATCAGAGGACTTGTCAGTGTCAGAAGTCTGCTGTCACTTAATTTGCAGCAATTTCTGTTTAGGAGCTTGCATGTAAATAGAGGCCTCCGTATTCACCTGGGTGGAGGTGCAGGATGCAGGTTGTCGGGGATTTTTTCTATGTTCTGCTTAATTTGAAGGTCAGTCTGTAGCAGCCTGACTGAAACAACTGCTGAACAGCAGGTTGGCAAGGTATGGGAAATGGAGTAGGGACGTCAGGGTCTTACTGTTTAAGAGGACGTTGTTTCCACTGTCTCCTCTTTTCCTAACCATAAGTGCAGACACCCAGAAGGATCAACAAGGTGGTAGCTGCTAGCATCAGCCTGGTAGTGCATAAGGATGTGGGCTCAGATTCTGGTTTTCTGAGATAAGGAGAATAAGGATGACAGAAGGAGCTTGAGTCTGACCCTGTGCATGTTCCTGGTAGTTTACAATGGAGCTTAGTGGGTGGGAGAGTGTATTTACAGAATAGCTGTCAAAATCTCTATGTGTAAGCAAGCTGTAAATAAGTCTATAAAGTATAATCGTTACTGGAGACTTTAAATCTGCAATGAGTGAAGGACTTGCTTCAAGTTCATTCTTGTCTCTGCTTCCTTGCATGAGAAATAAACAGAAGGATAAATCGGAATGCTGAGTTTGTAAATGTGATTCAAAGGCACATTAGAACATGATTGTGTAGAGTCTTTTTTCTTAAGCTAATGACCCAAATGAGTTCTGCAGTGTAGGAACATCAGACCACAGTGCATCATTTCTAGGGGAGTGCAGAGGTTAAGCTTGGGATCAATCAGTTTGCAATCAGACTGATTATAAAAGGAGAAGCAGCAGTACAAGATAAAATCAAAAGAACATAGTAGGACAGAAGGATATAGAGGGAGGCATTCAGGAACCCTTGAAGTAAAAAGGTTTCTTGCAGTAGAGGAGCTAGCAGGAACATTCGGGAGAACTATTAAGGGAAGCATTATGGTTTTGTTAAAATAACAGTTCAGGATTTTCAGCCTCACTTCCACTCCGAGTACATTTACTTAGAGACTGGCAAAGCTTTAAATATCCTTACCATTTTATCTGCAGTACTGTGAAATATCCAAGATACAACTGAAATGCTTCTGAAACTTTGTGTTTTTCATGTGCATATTGCTATGACTTAGATAAAAGGGAAAGGTTCCTGAACAGATACCGTTCCATTTTTTTAATCCAATCTATATGACTGTGTAAACCTAAGTTTCAGAATTGTGAATAATATGTGAATGAGTTTGATGCTGTCTTCTGGAGTCCTCTTCTGTTTCTGTGGCATTTGGCACAGCAAAATTATACTGTTCCGTGTTGGAGCAACTGTGGAAAGATTTAGAAGGTGGATTTTAATGAAAGAGATAAATAAAGCAAAGAAAG